ATCACCTCCCTTGATCTGCTGGCCATACTTCTTGTGATGCAGCCCAGGATGTGGTTGGCCTTCTGGGCTGCAAATACACATTGGTGACTCATGTCCAGCTTCTCATCCACCAGTACCCCCAAGTCCTTTTCCTTGGGGCTGCTTTCCAGCACATCATCTCCTAGCTTGTATTGGTAATGAGGATTGCCCCTGCCCAGGTGCAGAACCGTGCATGTGGCCTTGTTGAACCTCATGAGGTTCACCTGGGCCCACTTCTCCAGGTCCCTCTGGATGGCATCCCTTCCTTCTGGCACATTAACCTCACCACCCAGCTTGGTATCGTCAGTGAACTTGCTGAGGATGCACTCAGTCCTGCTGTCAATACCATAAATGAAGGTATTAAACAGCACTGATCCCAGTACAGACACTGGAGGAACACCACTTGTCACCGTCTTCCTTCTGAATATCGAGCTGTTGACCACCTCTCTCCGGATGTGACCATCTAGCCAGTTTCCTTATCCACTGAACAGTCCACCCATCAAATCCAAATTAGAGAGAAGGATGTTGTGGGGGACCATGTCAAAGGCCTTGCAGAAATCCAGATAGACAACATCCATAGCTCTTCCCTTGTCTACTGATGCAGTTACCCCATTGTAGAAAGTCACTAGATTGGTCAGGCAGGTCTTGCCCCTAGTAAAGCCATGCTGGCTGTCTCAACTCACCTCCCTGTCCTCCATGTGCCACAGCATGGCTTCTAGCAGGATCTGTTCCACGATCTTCCCAGACACAGAGGTGAGGCTGACAGGTCGGTAGATCCCAGGGTCCTCCTTTCTACCCTTCTTAAAAATGGGTGTGATGTTTCCCTTCTTCCAGTCACTAGGGACTTCACCTGACTGCCATGACTTTTCAAATGTCATGGAGAGTGGCTTAGAGTGGCTTGGCAACTACATCAGCCAATTCCTTCAGGACTCTGAAGGAGAGAGTGAAAGAGCTAGCTACTCTTTGCCTGTTGTGGTTGGTACTGGTCACTGTGGTTGGTACTTTGTGGTATAGCCTTATCTTTATGCTTAGCTTAATTTGCAGTGAAGATTCAGTGCTGACAATTAAGGAAGAATGTTGTCCTGGCCAAGCCTCTTACCATTGTTGTACCAGAGAGGTGAGAGATGTGGGTCTGGTCAATGCTAACATGCTGCTCAGCAGCCAAGAATGTCTGACAAACCAGTGCTGTTACTGGCTGGCTCAGGCTTGATGTGCTGTCTTTCGTAGACTGCAAAATCTCTGAAGATCAAGTGTTTACCTCAGATAAATTCTACAAGATTGTTAGGATTTTGCCATCCTCCGATTTAGATAGGACTCCTCTGTCCAATACTGAAGGACTGTTATACTTACTCAAGCAGTTAATATTTGTACCATAATCCAAGGTGCAAAAATGAATAAAAAAAAAAGATACAAGGTATTCTACAACAAGTTGGATGTTTTTACTTTGTTGTCTGCCTGTGCTTTAAAGAAAAACTCCAAAACCTTAAACTTGTTTGTAAGGAATTGTTGGCAGAGGACACACTGGGTGCTCTGACCAAGTTTGACCATGAAAGCAGTTCTTAGAAAGATAGAGTAGGAAATTGTCCCTTGAGGGCTTGGCAGAGGGCAGGTTGTTCTCCAGAGTCAAAGGACAGTGTGTGTCCTAACAAGGTCTGCCTTTCTGGATGGCTGTGGAGGCTCAGAGTTTGGGCAAGACAACAGCAATTGAATCTTAAGTCAAAAATCACTTGGAAAACACAAGCTGCTGCATCGTCTTTTATGCTCCTCCTGTTACATGCCCAAGTTTAAGACTGGGGTCTGGATCAAGTGTCATTTAAAGATAAGAAGAAACTTTCTAGCTGTCTTGATCAATCTCATGAAAGCTGCTTACGACTGGTCACTGAGAGGCTTTTTGGTTCCAAGTAATTCATTGTATGGCTCTTACAGAAAAGCCCTGCATCCCACTGTGGAAGTACTTAAGACCAAGTGGGGCCTAACCACTGACTGATGTTTGGTTCTGCTCTTTGAAGACTCCAGAAACTGTCTGGGTTTTCCAAATGTCTGCAGTAGAGTTACAGTAGTTTCTAAGATTTTAGTTTCATGCTTTTAAGATTGAGTTCATGCAGGAAACTAACAAGGGAAATCAGTGTGGAAGATTTAAACCACTTTCTTTTTTGTAAGCATTAATAAAACTGTTACATTTTAATACAAACTACAGTAGTAAGCTTTGGATTTCCATATATGAAACCATATTTTAAAATCCTTCCTCCCACCCTAGAAAACGGACTTTAAAATCCTTTTTCAGCATTTTGATGATGACCTAACATTTAGATACTCTTAATCCTCAATCTGTGTAAAAGTTATGTTTTGCATTAAATCCTTTGTTTTTTACCCCTGTGGATTTCTAAAATAATAATGTGTGCCATATAACTTGTTCTTCGAATTGCTTGTATACAATCTCCTCATTTCTAGGAGTCCTGTTGACAAAGTTGATTTTAAACAGCTACCTTCAGGCGGATCAATGAATCATCAGCCACCCTGGTAGTGCTAAGTTGATTTTAAATAAACTTCAGTTGGATATACATTTCTAACCAGAAGTCAGTTGTATTCATTCTGCATCTCTAAAATCCTATCCTGC